ATAATAATTTTTTTCTCTTCTTACCTCCTCTAAAACTGAACAAATTAAAGAATCTTTTTTTACCAATGAAGAAGGTTTCTATTTGTTTGAAAGCATTTTAACAAAAGTATTGGGCAAAGTATAAAAAGTAATTTTTTTAAAAAAATTAAAATTTTATTGGAAGAAATTCAAATTTTGGCTTATGAACTATTCCCCTCATCTTGGAATAATAGAAACTTTTTTATTTTATCTTTAAATTAAAGATTTGAAAATAATTTCTATTTTTATTTATATTACCCTTAAAAAATAAAAATAATATAAATTTATGTATTATGAAATGATATTTAATGAGTATAAAAAAATTAAGATTAAAAAAAAAAACTAATTTTTTAGAAACTAAAAACATATTCAAAATAAAAAATTCATGAAATATTTTTAGAAATTTTTTAGACAATAAGCATAATATTGAAGAAAAACAATACATCAACATATTTGGCATTTACTTACGAAAATTCATGTATTCTTTTGAGTCTAAATCTAATTAAAAACTTAAACATTTATTTAGATTTGTAACGTATTCTTTCAAATCTAAACAACTAAATAATTCCATAAAAAATAATAATTTAGTTAACAAAAAATTTAGAGGAGAGAGGAGGGGGGAAGAGTTTTTTACTTTATTTTTTACTTTTAATTCCTTTACTTATCCAAATGAGAAAATGAGAGGAGAGAGAAATTGAGGAAAATAGAAGGATGTCATATCCAAATACATTTTATATGCTTTAATTTCTTACTTAACCCTTGATTTTGTTGCTATATGAATGAATAGAATGTACTTTTTACATAATTTTTATTTTTTGTAAAAAGGACTTGAATACATGATAATAAAAGTTTTTGGACTTAGTGTTAATCTTTTTAAAGTTGAGGGATTATACTACGAGATGGAAAGTTGCAATCAAAGACTTAAATGAATGAATTCGAAGTTATTGGATCAAAGTGCTCATTAGGACCAAATGTGCTATTTTACAATTGAGGAAATTGCAAAAAGATCCAAAAAAAAAACCCTAGACGGGCATTGTGTCGCCACTATGCCTTCAAGACTGAGGGAGCCTGGTGAGACACGAGGCATATTGTCGACACCAAGATTTGGTGTCAACACCCTAAGTAGTTTTATTTTTGGAAGAAATAGATTTTTTGCACCACTCATATTTATTTTTAACTAAATTTTCTTAAACTCTATAAATACTTACTAAAAATCAAAGTTAAAAAGTTTTTGAAGACTAGGAGAGACAGCAACGGAAAAACTCAATATAAAAAAAATTAAAATATAAGATTTTATATTATTAAATTAGTTTTATTTGTTCTTAAATTTTATTTTATAATGTTAAATATTCTTATATTTATCATAAAGTATTTAATTTTTTTATTTTATTATGAATTAATTTAGTCATCTTAAATTATGATGCATCATAATCAATTTAATATATAATTTTATGATTTTATATTTTTAAGGTTTATTATTTTATTTAAAAAATATATTTTTTTTTATATCAATATTATTATTTTTAATACTTTTTAATAATGGGTCTCTATTAAAATTGTTTTAAAAAGCATAATTGAGACCAAAAAAAAGTTTTATACAATAATTTCCACTAATATATATCATAAATTGAAAAAAAATTAGAATTGAATTAATTATCTATTTGCAAATTACCGTTGTAGTGAATCTTACCGGAAGATTTTCTAGGGCATGGATAGGAGATACAGCTGTAAAATTTGTGAGAATTTCTTGAACCAAGATATGATATAAAGGGAAAATTAGTATTCAGATGGATGAGAGGTAGGTGGTATGGTAAAAGATGCAGCTGAATACAGGAGAAGCAGAGCCTACACGGTGTTGAAGCAGAGGAGAGCGGAATGGTACAATAAGAAGGAAGAGCACGCTTCGCCCAAGGTTCAGATAGGGAAAAAAAAAATTTTCTCTACCTTAGAAAATTGAAAAAAAGACTTAACAATTTAGTATAAATTTTTACTTAAAGTATATACATTA